TTCAAGATGTAGATCTTTTATTGTTTATAGAGCGTGGTGTCAGCGGTGGTGTAAGTCGAAGTTGTTATCGGCTCTCAGAGGCTAAAAACAAATATATGAAGGAATATGACTGATGCAATCTTTGGAAAAAAAATGGAAAAACGTTAGAAAAAAAAAACGAATATTAAAACTTTTAAATGAATGGGAGGGGAAATATGGGGGCAAAGATTTTTATTTCGAATCCAAATTTCAAAAACAGGTCTATTTTGAGTGATACTCTTATGGCCATTGAACTGAAAAAGCCTTGTATTATTTTCGATAAACGGCTGTAGATCGGTATGACTATACTGCAGATTTCAAAAACGTGTGTATATGAATGTGAACTTTTAATACTGATGCAGATAGTCTGATTTATGAGCTACTGTGTAATGACAAGTATGAAAAGGTAACTAAAACAGATATATATTGTCATCCTCTGGAAAACAGGTGGAATATTCCTCAAGTCGATGAAAAAATTATAGGTTTAATGAAGGAGAGAACAACAAAAAAATAATTACTCATTTCATCGGTTTTCGTCTACAGATACTGGAGCATGCTCTTATTTTATCCTGCTCCAGTTTAACTTTTGATTTACACGTTCCGAGAGGTTATCAGTACCCACTGTGGACCAGGTACAAAATTACAGAAAATACTTGCTCGATGAGATACAGTCATAAATCCTCTATAAAGCTTGTCGAGAGCACGATATTGCCTATGGTAAAAGCTCAAATTTAGAGGATAGACGCAAGGTAGATTACGAGCTTGAGCAAAGAGCTTGGCAAAGTGTCAAGTCCGCAGATGCTGGACAAGGAGAAAAAGCTGCAGCTTGGACTGTTACCAACACGATGAAAGGTAAACCTAAACTAGTTATGAGTGTAGGCAGAGCAGTACGGAAACTAGACAAAGGTGCCGACAAAAAATTTGGTTTTCGACAGACCTTTATAAGCAATGTTGCAAAGTTATTGAAAAATAATATAAACAAGAACCTGAAAAAAAAAAAATTGCAATGAGTGTGAAGGCTGCGCGAGATGCCGTCAATAATGGAGGAAAAAATCAAGACCTCCCGTATCTTACCTATAACAGCTGGACTAGTTCCGCTTATTCCAATCTTTGTTGGTCTTAGCGCTTTAGGGGCATTAAGTGGTGGAGCAGCAGCAGTTGCCAAGACAGTTATAGATGCTAAAAATAAAAAAAAAAAATGCATTAGATGAGGCTAAATGACACAAGAAAGCTATGGAGGATGTAGCACTAGAAAAAAAGACTTTCTGGCCTCGTAATGAAACATTATAGAAAGATATATGATTTGTACTTGAAAAAAACAACAAAAAAACTAATAGAGCTACCCGATAAAGCACTTAGTGACATAGATTCAATTGAATATGTGAAAAAGTTAGAAATTCAACATTTCCTGGATTTAGACTCTACCCTAGACCTTTCAATTTTATGCATACAGTATTGGGTACTTTTTAGCTCCGTAAGGCAGACGCGAGATGAATGTGCGTTCACAATCTGGCTATAACGTATAAGAATTGCATGCGGTGTTGGGGAGGGTATAGTGTTAGTGCTGCGTTGCCAAATTTGATTGGAAGGCAGAACCTGCTAGGTGCTTGTTAGAATAAGAAAAAAAAAATTTCAAAGAATCACATGACTTTACCTGATCATTTGCTAGTGGCGGGCGAAATTGGTAAAGGTAGAATCAATCAAAGATGTTTAGCATTTAATCTATCTGTGATATTAGGTCATTAACTTGAACTCGAGAACCGTCCAATTGAAACATCAAAATTAACGATTTTCTTATGATAAAGCAATTTTCTCGGAAATGTTAATTTCCGAAAAAATGCGAATGTTCAAGGTTCTAAAATATGGATCTTGCAGGCTGTCTGAAAAACTGAAATTTCTGCCTTCCTAATAATATGAGTTCGTGAAAGTCCAATTTAGGCTAAATTATGACCTGGTTTATCAAGGCTCAAGAATCAATAGAAGCAGAAAGTTATATGCAAACACATGCTACAGATTATATGTAGGTAGTTGCGATAAATTGCCTTTGTTAGTGCATTGATAACTTAATACACAAAATATATGGAGTAAACAAATGAACAAAACCGTATGCTATTTAGGTCAGTTCAGTTCAGATTCGTTACGACTAAGCTTTTTTTCTTTGGAGTGTTTTCATGTCTTGATAATAATTTAATACCCAAACAAAACACAAGACAAGATCATATGCTTTTTTATAACATTTTTATATTATCTCATATTTTTACATTAGATAGGAATGGTGAAAATAAGCACTAAAGAGGGCCAGAGTAGGTATCCTAGGAGCTGCCGATGGAAAAAAATATGTACCATTGAGCAGAACAGTGCTACTAAAAATCTTCGGAAAAGTGGTGCAAATTAGGCTGAAATTTAACGCTGCTTAGTTTTCATTCATACCTCCGATTGTTTGACAAACTTTCAAATAAAATCGTGAAAGACGTTATGAGTAAGAGCGTCATTATTTCATGTGTTGGCATTTAGTTCTTTTGAATTCCGTAGTTTACTCACAAATATTTTATTTGTAATGTATCCCCATACAATATAATCTAGAACAAAATAATTGAAATTTCACTTGTCGGCGAACGTTATAGCAGGTAGGTATCTATTGTTTCATTCTCAATCAGAAAATAGCCCGTCCTGGTGGTTGGTATTCGACTTCAGGAATTATGTAAATATAGAAACTAATTCTCCTCTATTGCTTCCATGATAGCATTGCCAATAGAAATTGTATGAGTAATTTTGCCACCAGATACAAACATGATGAAAAGTGCACTTATATAAAACATAATAAAAGGTGATTAAAATCCCTTGCAAACGATCTATTATGTTCCTATACCTAAATATGAAGTAAGGTTTCGGAAATAAAAGCCAGTTTCTGTTAGAATTAGATTGATTAAAAATTACTTATTATTGAAAATACTTTGAATAAACAGTAAGAACAATGGAGATAAATATTCAGTTTTAATATTTAAATACTAAGATCAGGTATAAACTTGCAGATCGATTAAACAGACAAGTTTTATCTCAACAGCTCAACTTTCTGACGAGGACCTGGAATGAAAATATGCTTGATTTTATTGAACGTATAAAAATTCTCAAAACCCGTATCTGTCTTAAGATTATTGTTGACCAAACTCAGCGACAAGAGACCAAACAAGCACTTGATGAAGAAAGTGAACTAACAGCGGTCACTGTCATGTCAAACTCCCCAACCGATCTTCGAAGAAATCGAAGCATCCTAATATTCCAAATTCTCAAAGCTTTAAAGATGCCAATGCTATTGTCGTTAATCATTCTCTATTAGAACAATAAATAAATGCTCGATCATTTGTGCTTAAACAAAATAATCAGGCAACCAATAAGCCACCACATAATAAAAATAACTTATTTTAAAACTATCAACCAACTCCAAACTCCCGATCAAAATCACCTAGCTTTCAGCAAAATTTCCAAATCAGGGGTCAACATTGTCACTTCCTAGCCAGCCGATTAAAGGGGCTGTGACCCAAAAATGAGAGTTTCAGTGAAAAAAAAATCTAAGAATAAATATTTAAACCCCATGTTGCTACGATGGCCTGTTTTCGAGTTAGGGCCGTTTAAAGTTACAACTAGGCTTTTGTGACGTCACGCTGGACTATCAGGGACAGTATTAACACTTGCAAAAATCTTCCAAAACAAAAGACAATTATCTCTTAGAGCAAATTGCAACCACTCAAAGTATAGGGTACGGTTCACTGACGACTAAACGAACAGAAGACAGCGATTTCGGCGGTTGTGACATCACAAATTCCTGCATAATTTATCTTCCCGAGGCGTTTTCTCGGAAACTATTTTGAATACAGGACTGCGGTTTTCACGAGAGATCTTAGAATTTTTTTCTTGATTTAAGTAGCTTAAGTCGTTTTTTTGGGTCACACCCCCTTTAACATTCAACCAAGACAAGTTCAAAAAAACTTAATTCGTTCACAAACAGCAAAAAAATATTCTTTTTTACCCGCAAAAATATGTAAACAAACAGGCTGGAACATGCTCACGCACCCGGCCACGTTAATTGTCCTGACGCGGGCGATCTGTATCTATGCGTCAGGGCGCTGGCTCCCCGGCTTCGTCACAGAATATCGTCGACGGCAAGTATACGTACTTACGCATCTGTATTAGGTGATCTGTGACTCAAGTATGAATGGGAAGGAGAAGAGTCCATGCAAATGATGTACAATAAGCCACAATCAGCTTCAGTGCAGACCATAGGCTCGAAAGGGTGTAAAAAAATAGTGCTTTCGGAAAACCGAAAGACGTATTTTCTAAGGAAAATTCGAACAAACACTGGCAGCTTAACACTGATGTCAACAACAAACAGAATCCCCTCGTTGCAAACAAGGTATTCTCAAAGGCCAATTATGCGCCAAAATTTCAACAACTCCCAAAGCAATTCCTTCACTCTCGTAGACTTAACCAATTTGCAAGAAGACGCTTCTACGTATCCTCCGAATGAAACATCGGAAGATTAGTACGCCGAAAATCAATCCCAATTTGACCCTGAAAACAATGAATATTGCTGAAAAATTCGATAATCCTCCTTGCGAGCCGACAAACAACGTAAATTTTCACTGAATGTCCTCAGAAACCAGTCCGACCTCAACCTGAATAGTTTTCAAGCAAATCTCATATATAAAAATTCTAAGTCCACCAGCTAAACTTCTTATTGATACAGGCAGCCACACTTCTTTAATAAGATCAATTATTGCCGAACAACATTTTCCACATTTAATCTATAATTTGAAACATACCCTTATTACATGCACTGGACACACACACCCAGTACAAAGTAAAAATCCTTGCTAGGCGAATAGGGTTCAAATACTGAACTTGAATTTATTTTATTCAATTTCCATGACTACTACGATGGGATAATTGGCATACGAATTTACGTAAACTAAATCTATAAATAGATCTAACAAACAGAAGTCTTTTTAATGATTCAACAGAAATTCCTTTAGTGTATCGTGACGATTTTAATATACAGAAAATTGAAATTCCACCCTTGACTAATGTTATAAAGAACATTAACGCCAATATTCCTGACGGAACAGAAATTATGATGCCACAGTTGCATAACTATATAATAGAGATTTCGGCGTCACTTTTATCAGTGCGAAATGGTACAGTTCCACTAGAAATTCGGAACCTGAATAATGAAATTATTATAATACATTTTAATTCGAATTCCATCGCAGAAAAAGCTGAAATTATTAATTCGGAAGTCTTTGAACTTTTCAATATAGGGCAAATTCATGCCAAACCATCTACACCTAGTGATTCCGATAATTGTGATTTTTCTCTAATTAGATTAGACCACCTTAATTCAGGAGAGCGATTAGAATTACAAAAATTAATATTGCAATTCAATGACGTCCTCTTCAAGCCCGAACAAAAACTAATCTTTCCTCACCAAATCAAATACGAAATCGAAACGGTAGACGAAATTCCAATCCACACAAAATCTTACAGATACCCTTTTATTCACAAACAAGAAGTCCAAAAACAAATCACACAAATGTTGAACGACGTAATTATACGTTCATCTTCTAGCCCTTGGTCTTCTCCTGTGTGGATCGTCCCAAAGAATCAAGACGCCTCGAGTAAACAAAAATGGCGTTTCGTAATTGACTATCGCAAAAATATTGAGAAAACGATTAATGATCGTTACCCAATTCCCAACATCTCTGACATACTAGACAAACTTGGCAGAAGTCAATATTTCACAACCCTCGATTTGGCCTCAGGGTTTCATCGGATCGAAATGGATCCAAATTCTATTCCAAAGACAGCCTTCAAAGTCGAAAATGGACATTTCGAGTATATCAGAATGCCATTTGGCCTGAAAAATGCTCCTGTAACTTTCCAAAGGGTCATAGATAATAATCTCCCCAAAGACCTTCAAGGGAAAATATGTCTCGTTTACATGGACGACATCATAATCTTCTCGACTTCTCTACAAGAACATATCACTGATATCAAAATAGTTTTTGCTCGATTTAGGGAACACAACCTTAAAATTCAACTCGATAAATCCAAATTTCTTCAAAAAATAGTTCAATCTCTAGGTCACGTTATAACTCCGGGTGGCATAAAAGCCAATCCCAAAAAAGTTGAGGCAATCAAAAAATTTCCTATCCCTAAAACACCCAACAAAAAAATCAACTCTCTTTTAGGTTTCGTAGGGTATTATGGAAAATTTATCAAAGATTTCGCAAAATTGACAAAACCTCTTACTAATTGTCTCAAGAAGAATATTAAATCCGTTGAAACTGTCCGAAGATCAGAATTTATCTCAATACATCCAAGATCACTCTGAAAATCTCATCAGAATAATCAGTCAAGAATTCCACGAAAAACTCACAACCCACAGCACCGTTTCCTTACAAAATCAAAATATTCATGAAAACCTACTAAAACCCCAACGCATTATTGTTTCAGATAGAACTCTACCTCCTACTTCTAATATTATCCCTGGCTATGAACTTAGAAATAAAATAAATTGAAAATCCTATTCTACTCTTATCCCTAGGTGCTGCTTACATTACCACAAATCAACATACATCCCTTTATCATATCGATGTAACAATTATTATCGACGACTGCTTCAAAAATCTTTAAAATATCTTAGAAATATCAAAACAGAATTCAAAGTCGTCTTTTTCTGAAGGAATGTTTTGAAATGTTTTGAAACGTTTTAAAACGCTATATTTTTGTGTTGCACGGTGACGTCATATACGGAAACGGTTCAACCAGTTTCGAACCGCTCTTCAGCCTTTTTCAAAATAGAGGTTAAGCAGCTGACCTCAAAATACCATTGGCATAGTACACAAAACAATCATTTTAGAGATGTCACGGGCTCCGTTTTAAAACGGGGCATTTTTGATCACCACCGATATGATGACGTAGCAATCGAACCAGTTTTGAAACGTTTTAAAACACGGTTCAACAGAGACGTCTCAAGCCAATAAAACCGAAAATTTCACCGTATTGACACAACAGAAATTCAAACAAACATACGATTTTTCACAAACACTTCTAACCAGCACGAAGTTATTTCATAAATCCAACAGAACTAAACGAGGACTGATTAATACTGTTGGAAAAGTCAATAAATGGCTTTTCGGCTACTTTCACAATCTACTTCGAAAACAAAAAAATGAACATACTGAACTAATTTTTGTAATAAGCTCGTATACCGAACATCTACAAAAGCTTAGCAACAATCAAAAACTTATGGCCAGAAGACTAAATTTATGAGAAAACAGCCAACTAGGCATATCTAGCGCTCTATGTTTATCCTTAGTATTAGATTAAATAATGTTCCTATTAAATGCACTTAATCAATTAATTACTAATATAGAAAATGCAATTTCCTTTGCGCGTGTAAATACGATGAATAATTCATTTTGAAATCCAAATCAGGTTATGGAAATGATAAACAATATCAAGAAATTATATGGATCTGACAGCTTACCTAAATTCAACGAACTCAAAAATTATCACAAGTACCTATCAACCCAAGTGGTATTAAAAAATGGTATAATACTTTTTTCTATACACACTCCAATAGACTCTTGCACTCAATCGAAATTAAGTATTTAATTTATCTGAAACGAAAGTGTATTTGTTATACTACATAAAAGTATGGTTGGTTAATTTTTTTCTAAATCTATTTTCCTTTTTCAACACATCGAACAAAAAAGGAGGCATATATATGCCAAAATCGCTTTGTGTATCGACTTTGGTACACACCTACTTTTGACATGAAAAATAGAACGACACTTAATGAAGTTTTGACAATTTTGTTTCTTGTCTAAATACGAATTAGACAAAGAGATCCGTACCTGTACTAATCTGGCACAGTATAAAGTACGAAAACAATAAAAGGGATCTTTACTTGTAATGATTTTTGTTTATTATTAGGCCAAGGTCAGTGACCTCTGGCCAATTATCCTATCTCAATGGCTTTTACAAACCCTTTCTTTATCACAACAAAATCAACAATAATTAACAACAAAAAACAGCAAGCTGGGGCTGCTAATGAACAAAGCAACAGCATTGATTTCTTTGACACTGGGGGATTATCCAAAAACCAATAAACGGTTCCGAAAGGTAATGTTGAAATTATCTAAAACCCAAGCAAAGGCAATGAAATTAATCACATAATAAAATGTGTAACCAGTTACCAGTAGAAATTTGAAGGAAAGGTTCTTGATTTCATGACTCACTGCTGGTAGATTCCTGGAAGGGTCTTTCTAAAGTAAACAAGAGGCCGGAGTCACCCTGAGTGTGATTTGAAGAAAAAAGAAATGGGATGTTTTTGCCTGTGGAAATGTAAACTTTGGTCTTAGGGCGGTTACACACGGAGGTGGATGTCTTAATACATATACGTGCATACATCAACGTGCAAACAACAACGTGCACGGCGTTTTGTACAGACGCTCGCACAAAACAGCAGTCTTGCTATTCTTGCTACAGTATTCCGAGTGTGCATACAAAATTGCACATTCAAAAACGCGACGATATTTTGCATACACATTGATGTTTTTGTTTGCGCGTTCATGTATGTGCGTACATGTTTCCAGACATCCACGTCCGTGTGTAACCGCCTTTAGGTACAGAAACTGGTGTCTAATACAGACACATAAAAATTATACTCGTTTTTATTTCCCATAAACCACTTAAAAGAAAAACAACAATAATTTTCAATTGTTTATTTTGTTGGCGATTGAAAAAGGGTTTGTAAAAGCCGATTCCGGAAATTGGCCAGAGGTGAGCATGGATATGGTTTCGGAATTTATGATTTCCAATGCCGACTATTTCAGTGCCGAAATTAAAAATGTAAATTAAAACTCACAGCACAACACTAGACGGTAGAGTTGAAACAAATAAAAAATTTCACATTAAGGGTAGGTAGGTATTAGTAAAATGCAGGTAGAGCAACCTTCCCCAATTAATGATTCCCTTACTGGGTAGAAACTTTTAAAAATTTAGAGGCACACACTAGACAATGTGTATTCAATTATGAACAATGACATAAGGGACTTATGGGGTTATGCTCGGAGTTATGGTTTGTTTCTTGTGGTTTGTGTTCCTTCTGCCTGTTTTGGAGTTTTGGACAGGCTAATAAATAATAATAAATAATGATGATAATGAATTAAAAAGTTGGGTTAAGTTTTTCATAGGAATGAGAATCGATTCCATATTTCGATACTTACAAATCTGTGGATTCAATATATCGATTTAGTTGTCCCTGCCAGGAAAAGTTTACATGAAATCCATTACATCTGGGCAACACTGGATAAAATTGACCAATCAGAAATTTCGTGTCGTGACGTCACGCGACCAAGAAATTTGAACTTCAAATCGAAATTTGAGGCCTTTGCAAGTCCGAAAAAAATCGAAAAAAATATAGTTAAGCTTAATTTTGACTCCTTTTTGCAATAAGCAGATAAAAAAATTCATGAAAGAAACCTATTGTGTACAAAATTCACCCGATTCCTCAATCAAACAAAATACATATCCAATCCGTTCATCTTTTGGACTACTGCAGAAGAATTCCCGCAGCTCGAAGAATCCTCAATCTGCCCACTAGCGTTTCTATCTAAAGAAGAACCCTGCCTCTTCAAATTATTAACCACAACAATAAACGAATGCCCTTCAACCCACATAAACTACCGAAGGACTTCTATCCAACGTCTGAATGGAGACAAAATACTAGTCATTCCTTACAACCAGACCACCATCCGTAGCGAGTGCCAAAAAGGACTATACAATGTCAAAAAAGCCATTATACTTACCATACCTACATGCCCAATCCAAATCAACAACCAAGTATATGAAAAGGAGAAGAAAACCGAGTTCCAATTCATCTTGGATATACCAACATTCTCGTATGTGGAAAAAAAAAGAAGCCCTAAAACTACAGCTCGAAGGCAACCAATCTGTAATTCAACTGCATAGGTTTATCTCTATTTTTCGAGAAAAAAAGTTATATTTGTTTCTGTCATAAGAAACAATGTGTCAGAAAGAGGCTTTTATCGTTTCCCTTACCGATAGGAAGTCCTTTTATAACAAGTTGGTTCTTATAAAAAGAACGGATTTCAATGTTATTCTCGAGAACTGTTAAAGATATACCTATCGGACGTTACATCATTAAAATCAGCAGAAGCAGAGCTACCTAATAAATTATTGAATTATAGGGTTTCCTATTAAAAAATAACGGACTTTGGTCAATATCTCGAAATCGTTGCCAAATAGAAAAAAAAACTGAGAACGAAAAATTAAACTATATTGAGTGAAATAGGAAAATAAGTTCAAAATAAGATAAATACATATATTAGCTTATGCTTTAGAAAGTTTTTACAGAAATCAATTATTTTCATAAACAACAGAGTTATGAAGCTTTCACAGTATTGCTCAAAATCGAAAAAAAGCCCTCAAGCAGCAAAAAGGGGAAAGGTTTCCAACTGCGGTTTGCACTAGCGAAGATTTCATGAAACTTCAGCCTCAGAATGGAGGATTTATTTTATTGTGTGTCGCTCAGAAATTGCTGCTTCCTATAGCAAAGACCAAATTTCTTGTTTGAAAAAATAAAGCGAAAGGATTTAAGGCAGAAAACAGTGCTGATATGCAGCATCCCTTTTTATTAACACCTCCAGTTGCTCGAAAGCCATTACCAAAAACCATTACCGCCTACCATGTTTAATCTTGGATTTTGCTTCACTATAGAGCCTTTATTAGTTCTAAGTTAATATCCCTCATTTCTAGTGCTTCCCAAAGCTTTTTAGTATGATATTGCCGTATGATTTTTTTAGATCCACAAAATAATCTTGGTTATATGGTAGTTTCGTTTCTAACACCTGGGTCAAACTAAATAAGTACTCTTCTGTTGATCTATACATGCTCTAAAACCGCTCTATTCCTCTGCCTCACTATTGCTGTATCTATACTCGTTTTCTTTTATGGCGTTAATCATTTTTCTACATAACTTGCTTAAAGTAACTGTCACTGCAATGCCTGGGTGGTTTTCGCATTTGCTTCGGTCTCCTTTTTTATAGTCAAGTTGTACAGGGTGCTGCAATTTGGAGTGTTTTAACAAGAAAAACATACTTCCAGACCAGATAGAGGAAAATTGACTTAGGTGTCAGGGCGATTTTCGATTTTCCCCTATTATGAAAAATAGCTATAAGTTTTTTATTTATCAATTTTTTTTCTGTAAAAACATTATGGAGACACTTTTTTGAGCACAATCCAGTGGCGGACTCAGTTTTTTTCTATATCGCTCCGATTTCGAGATATCGACCAAAGTCCGATATTTTCAAATGAAATACCCTATATATTAATAGATCATTGGATAGCTTTGTTTTTGCTGATTTCAATGATATAAAGTTCGATAGGTTTATCTCTAACAGTTTTCGAGAAAAAAAATTATATCTGTTTTTGTCATAAGAAACAATGCGTTAGAAAGAGACCTTCCTCATTTTCCTTACACATATAAAATCCTTTTCTAACACATTGATCCTTACGACAAAAACAGATATAATTTTTTTTCTCGAAAACTGTTAGAGAAAAACCTATCGAACTTTCTATCATTGAAATCAGCAAAAATAAAGCTATCCAATGAGCTTTTAATATATAGGGTATTTCATTTGAAAATATCGGACTTTGGTCGATATCTCGAAATCGGAGCGATATAGAAAAAAACTGAGTCCGCCACTGAATTGTGCTCAAAAAAGTGTCTCCATAATGTTTTTACAGAAATAAAAAAAATTGATAAATGAAAAACTTATAGCTATTTTTCATAATAGGGGAAAATCGAAAATCGCCCTGTATCGATGGTACCATTGAAGATATCGTGATACGGTTTTTGGCAATCGACGTTTCTCGAAAATTAATCCCATGACACCTAAGTCAATTTTCCTCTCTCTGGTCTGGAAGTATGTTTTTCTTGTTAAAACACTCCAAATTTCAGCACCCTGTACATATGAATATGGGTAATGTATAATTGTGTGAACGTGTAGAATGTCTGTCAGCAGCTATTTTTATGGTCAAACTTGGGGTGAAGTTAGAAGTAATACAGTGAAGAAGGTGACAAAAATCAAAGATTGGCTGGACACTTTTTAACCGAAACAAATTACTTTGCTTCTGCTCTCAAACACTTATGTATTTTCAACAACTACTTTTTCGAAGTGAGGTTTAGGAAAAGCATGCTCTACTGAATGACACTGAGTTATTCATAATTTGGCAAAAAAAGTTATCTTTTTTTTTATTAGAAACAGTAGGAAGGAAGTTAAAGTTAAAATGTCTTATTCCATTTTTGTGTAATAAAAATCTCGAGTATTTGACGAAGAAGTACTGCCTCGGCTCATTCATCTGTCTATTTCTCAAATGCGAGATTTCTGCGGCGTGCGGCGTCGTGTTGTTTGTTGTGCAGTTCTTCTGCAATCACTTTAACTGGCTTAATTTATTACTCCACCTCCATAATCATGCTTGTAAATTACTCGCCCATTCAAAACATATAAATATTACATTCGAACCCTTTGAATACCCGAATGCATTAAGTATGTTATGCACGTATATAGAAAATAAATAAAAGACAAATAAATGACTAGCCGTTTAAAGAAAATTCTATTCAGAGGGAATATTTAATTATTCCATTGTTAGTGCTTTACTAAACGTGAAACTGACAAGCCAGCTATTGTATACAAATTGCCCAACAATTCGTTGTTATGCTCAGATACATTTCAAGTAGCCGCCAAAGAACCTGAACATTTTTCTGAGAACAAATTAAAAAAGCAACAGCCTTTCTCGAATTGTTTTATTCACGTTTTTAAAATTGAGATGTTACCTGAGAGACAACAAGTGAATGAAAAGGGTTCCTTGAATATTCTTTATTATAAGTTTCAATTTTGAAGTACTTAGAAGTATATGTCTAGATTTCAAAATTGAGCTAAACTTTATTAGGCATTCAAGAAGTAAATCTGCATGATAAAAAAGCCCGATATCATCATTTGTTTTACCAAAATTATTATCTGTATGCAAATAATCTCAAATGCATATTGGACAAGGCGACTACAACTAAAATCATTTTTGTTCCTGTACCGTCAACTGGGGCTTCTTTGATAATTGTGGGGCAATTTTGATAACCCATGTCTCAACTATTATTTTCTTGTATTACTACGCAAGCGCAAATTTCTTGGCGCGTCTCAACAGGTCATATGTTTTTCAAGTGTCAGTCCTTTGCGAGAGTGTGGTTATGGTGGTGCGATTTGCCGCGGTCTCCGTACTACAAGGTAGGAAAGTTTACTTTTAACGTTTGTTTATTTTAAAAAGCTTCTGAAATTTCATATATGTACACAGCTCAACTATTTTATCATGGATCAATTTTTATTATTTTACATGGAAACCTATCAACCTGAGAACAGAAATATCATTTTTAGATTTTTCTCAAAATAATATTAGGCCCTTCATTTATTAAAATCCTTCGTGGGGCAACTTTGATCGCCTTTTATGGGGCAACTTTGATCATGATCCAAGTTGCCCCATATCGTAATAGTAATGCAGGTACCTACATACTTGAATATTATTTTTATCTTGCAGAAATATGGTCCGAAAATACCAGAGGACTTTGGGTGTCAGAAAATATAAAGACTATAAAGAGGAAGTTGTCGAAGAAGCTTTAGGAAAAGTAACAGAAGATAATTTTAGTATACGGAAAGCGTCAGTACAATATGGGATTCCATTTGGGACTTTGTACAACAGGTACAAAGGGCTCCACATTCGTTCAGTAGGACGTCCCACATTATTCACTCCACAAGAAGAACTTCAACTCGTCAAAAGCGCCGCTACCTGTGGCGACTGGGGATATCCCTTCTCCAAAGAAGACATGCAGTTCTTAGCCAAAAACTATCTTGACAAGCAGGGCAAGATAATACCTTATCTAACGGAAAATAAGCCTGGTATAGATTGGGTGGATGGCCTCTTAAGTAGAAACAAATCTGACATTTGTAAAAGGGTCGCTGCAAACATTAAAAGAGCTAGAGCTACAGTCAGCGAAGCGTCGTTGAAAGAATATTTCAATAATTTGAAAGCAACAATAGAAAATGTCCCTCCATCGCATTTATTCAATTATGATGAAACAAATATGGCGGACGATCCTAGAAAAAAATTTAAAATTTATAGACGAGGTGTAAAGTACCCCGAACAAATCTGTAACTTTACCAAATCTGCTACGACAATTATGATATGTGGATCGGCTTCAGGTGTACTACTTCCGCCATACATAATATACAGATCCACAAAGATGTGGAATACTTGGACGGAAAATGGTCCAAAAGGTAGTCCTTGTTGCGAAGATAGGTGTTGCAGTGGTGGTTCGCGATATAATAGAACGAATCATGGCTGGATGGAGGCATCAAGTTTTACGGATTGGTTTATGACCTGTTTCTTACCACATGCAAAAAAACTAGATGGAAAAAAAGTTATCATTGGGGACAATTTGGCCGCACATTTCACGGACGATGTTCTTAAGTGTTGCGAAAAAAATAATATCGCTTTTGTGTGTTTGGTTCCCCATTCCACTCACCTTACACAGGCTCTTGATGTCTGTTTTTTCAGGCCGATGAAAATAGCTTGGCGAAAAATATTAGGAGCTTGGAAAACAAAAAACCCAAAGATAGGTGGCTTGCCTAAAGAAGAATTTCCCAGCCTTCTTCAACAAGCTTTATCTGCAATGGATAACGTGGGTGAAGGCCATGCAATAAAAAGAATCCTAATTAGTGGATTTGCCGCGACTGGAGTTTTCCCGTATGATCCTCAGAGGGTCTTATCAAAAATTCCGGGATATGTTCAAGAAAATGAAGGTGACATAGGCAATACACTAATTGATTTCTTGAAAGAGCAGAGGTTTGGTGGGGGTCCAAGTACCTCAACAAGGCAAAAAAAGAAAATGGTAAAAGTCGTTCCTGGCAAAAGCGTAACGCACGTTACAGCAGACTCAGAAATGTTCGAAGAAGGAACCATGCAAAATGAAACAGAGGATGAAGCTATTCACGATGAAGATGACGAACAAGGAAGAGAACAATTCAACGAAGAAGAAAAGGAAAACGAAAACTGCAACACTAAATCGACCGAAAATTTGGAAAGTACAGAATTGAAAATTGGATCGTTTGTCTTAGTTAAAATGAGAACTGTCAATACAAATGTCGATAAATACTTTGTAGGCAAAATAACAGAAATAATATTAGGTGACGATATTTTTAATGTCAGTTTTCTGAGATATAAAAAAGGTAAAAAGAACAATTTTTTTGTTTTTCCTGACATTTTGGATGAAAGTTTCGTTCAGAGATCTGAAATTATAGGATCCCGAGAACCCTCAGAACATCATAGGGGGCAATATGTTTTCAAGACGTTTGAAAGTTTTGTAGAGGTCTAAAGTGCTCATCACGTCCGTTTTCCTAAAAATTACAATTTTTCTGTTTTCGTGTCTGGAGCACAGACAGCAAATATTATTTGGTTTAAGTTTGTTTAGTAATTTGTTTTTCGTTTTGTTTTACTTTTGTTCAACCTTTAGATAGAAAATATATATTTTTTTCTGTTAGTTTTATGTTTTCGTAATAAAAAACAAACTTGATTAAAGCAAAAGCGTATTTATTTCTTAATTTCTGGTGTTTTTTTTTTTAATTTTTTTATTTAGATTTTATTTGAATAGGGTTTCTTTGATCGTACGGGCAAACTAACGCATGATCAAAGTTGACCCAAATGAAAATATGTTATTTTATTAGTGAATTATCGAAATAAATTTAATTTTTTTTATTTAGATTTTATTTGAATGGGGTTTCATTGATTTTACGGGCAAAACTGAAGCGTGATCAAAGTTGCTCCAAATGAAGTAAAATTTTGATCAGGCCTATTCTATTTTTTTTTTCCTATTTTCGTGTGAGTTTAGGAAATTTTTAATAAGTGTTTCGATTAGTCATATAACTGCCCAACATTTCCTTTTTTTTTGTTTCCAAATATCTCAACTGGTTACCTAGCTGCAAGCGAAAATTCAAATTTTTTTGATCAAAGAAGCCCCAGTTGACGATACTCAAAAAAAAATCTTGTTGCAAAAATGTATGCCCTTGTTGATTACCTATACTATATTTCCTAACAATTGCGCAAAGTGATACTTTTCCGCACGTAAAAGCAGTTAGACAAACGACATAAAGTGGGGTTTCGAATAAGCTTCAAGGGCGCGAAAGACACTTTGCGCACGCACTAGGAGCAATATTTTTTCTTCGAACGTTCACACCTTCGATAAACAGCAAACAGTTATTTGTAAAACTAATTTTTGAACTAAACTCAACCTCTATTCCATTAGCTGCTCTATGAGGGACAAGATCCACCGGGAATTTGCTCGACGTGAGCGTCGCACGGATGCCGCTGATTGTTTGAGAGATTTTATTATTTTTAAAATAAGTAGAAAATCGTTTGCTTTGAAATTTGGTTTTCTCGCATACTTTTCAATGTCAAAACGGATGCCATAGTGAAAAAATTCGTTACGATTCTGAAAGGACAGTTTTCATAAGGATAGGCGGTTGTTTCGAACAAAACATTTTTATCAGTGAATTCAACACATAATATAAAAAGCTAGGGCTGTTTGACGTAAGAATCATGCTCTTTATTCAACTCGGGACTGATGTGAACGGTTTTCAGTACCTATATTTGCCATTAAATATTACGATACAGCAAATTTTGTAGTACTGGAATTATTAGTTTAATCTAACGAAATTTTTAATAGGTAACTAGCAGGAATATGTTGAAGTTTATTGAAACAATTAATAATTCAGTTACACAGTAGGCATGCTCTACAAATTTACAGGAGATGTTCCACGTGAGCATCATCCAACTTGAGCACGTTTCAGCTCTTCGACGCCAAGACACACCTACACGTTGGAAAATTCCCGCAGTTTTTCCAATTTGATTGCGATATTACACAATCCGTTGCCAAAGTTGCAGTTCATCAACAAATGGGCTCTTTCCCTAAAATTTAAATACGTAGTTTAACCATAAAATCTTAAATGACGGACTATTCTAGGTATAGAAAGATGATAAAATTAATTGCAAAAAATAAATTTAAATTGTGTAGGATAAAAATAATTATAAATAATGTTATGAACTCTTGAATCCCCAAGTAATCAAATAATTATTTTTCTTGGTATTTTGCCAACATTTTAGAATTTAATGTGCTACAAATTTTCAATGCTGAGAATTAGTGGCAACTGTCAAAATGCAAGCTGTGACATAGTGCGGATTAATCCGGTGTTTTTACTTAGAGAGTTTTCTTTTTTATTTATTTTCTGAAGAAGGACTATGAATTTTTGGAAAGTAAGAATGTTGCTTTATCCAATTATGTCAATTTCAAAAATTAGTGGGAGAGCCCATTGGTACCGAATACACCAATGAATTAAGATGTCCCAACAAGTAGAAATCGAGTGGATTTAGATCCGTAGATCATGCCGGCCAAGAATGAAGTCCACCACCCTTCATCCTACGATGACGATAATTACCTAATATTGAAACGATTCATTGTAGCCCCTTCCGTTAACAAATTAACAAGAGGCCCATAATATGCTCAGTTTGCTCAGCGAATAATTATTAGGGGTGGGTTGATAGTTTAATAGGTACAGAATGGCAAGGGCGCCACTGAATTAAAAAAAATAATAATAATAATTGAATTACATAACATATTGGGGTGTGAAAATTCAGAAACACACCTAAAAAAAAATAGTCAGCAAACGGTAATTGGTAATTCTGAAAAGGAAATAAATACGGCATATAACTCAACCAAATCTTGACACAGGTAAACCGATAAAACAATTAAGTAAGTTTCAAATTAAGTTAGTGCATATTTCACAGTGAGGTTAAAAATCAAGAATTAAATAATTTTAAAAGATAAAACCAATTGTTGGTAAAACACTTTAAATCAAATCAATAAAAAGAGGTTAACTTTCAATCAGATTCATCAAGGGCAAAAAAAAAAATAATATTATAATATACCTCAATATAGTGGCAATATAAGTTCATTAACAGTCGCTGGCCATATCATTATCATGAAATGAAAATGTAAAAGATTTCAGTTTCCAGGAAACTATTTTTGAAAAAAATGAAAGATTGCAAATCGTATAGATAAATATGGTTACCTTCTGCCTAAAAAAAATAAATTCAATAAAATCAACTTAAACCTGTATGAAATCAAAAGTTGGGTTAAATGGTCAGGAGATATTATAATATAAACCCTCAAATATACAGGGTGTCCCACTAAGGTCGACGAGGTACGATATTATGGAAACCATAGACCTTACGTAATTTGAAAACGAATACAGATATTGAATTGCGGTTTGTGCCAAAATGTAGATATTTTTTTGCTCTTCAAGCACAACAATAAAAAAATAATATTATGCCATTTGGATTTTTCAAGAAAATTAGAAAAAACTGGACCTTGGTTAAACGGCGCCCTCTAGAAGACGCGGTGGGAACTATCGACCCCGAACGAAGTGGTGTTCTTAATAACAATGAAATTCTATTTTAAATAAGCCCAAATTGAATCAGTTTGGATAAGGGGTATGTAAGATATAGCAATTTTTAAAACTATTTTTTCACCAGCTTCCCCCAACCTTATTAGGGAAGATACGAAAAAAGCCTAATAACCAAACTGGCGCAAAAATTAATGAAGTTTTGATTTCTGTTGTTAAAACAGTATGTTTTTTTTTTTTTACGGATATGCGCACTCGCAAGGAAATGTCCTATCACGCTCGAGAAGCGGCAAGTGCGCGGAAATGTCGGTGTATGTTGGTCTTGAAACGGTTCAGGTTGTAACCTGCAGGGAAAACCGTCGCAGGGAGTTTATTCCACAGCGATGCTGTTCTCCAGAGTTATGAATTCTGATATAATGAGGTTCTTGGTGCCTCTAGTTTGACAGTAAATTCATGGTTACCGTCTGTTTGACGGGTTCGCCTGGTAGGCGCTACTCTCGGTGGAATCATACGTGCCAACTCTTCAGAGCATTTTCCGTGATAGTACCTGTAGAAGAGAGATAAATCGCCCACAGATCTGCGATGTTCGAGACCATCCAAGTTACGAGTAAGTGCGGGGTCATTGATCAGCTTGATAGCTCGTTTTTGCACGGTGTTCAAAAGCATTAAGGTATGTTTGGGTGCTGCACTCCATATATGTGAGCAGTACTCCATAGTTGGTCGAATCTGGGCTTTGTAGAGTGTCAGCAATTGGCTTGGTGTGTACAGATGTCTTGTACGAAATAGCACCCCCAGCTTTTGGGACGCCCTTTTAGCAATATCTGCCACGTGACTGTGCCAAGACATGTTGGTCTCTGCAGTAACCCCCAAGATGTTCAACTGACTCTGTAATGTGACAGCACTTCCAGATAGCATGATGTTTGGCTCACCGGTGCTGGTCTTTTTTGAAAACAGAGCTGCTTGGGTTTTCTGTGCGTTGAACTGTACAAGGTTTTTGTTACCCCAGTCCTCTATTATCTCCAGATCGTTATTTATCTGCGATATTTGAGTTAGTCTAAGATGATGGAATTCACGTGCGGAAAGACCTGTGGGTGGTATGAGTGAGGAGACTACATTGCCATCGTCTGCAAAGCAATAAAGTGGATTTACTGTTTTATCTATGAGGTCATTTATGTAAATCAGAAAATGAGTTGGCGAAAGGATTGCTCCCTGTGGCACACCAGCATTTATTTGGTAAGAGTTGGAGTTCTGGCCATCCAGTGCAACATAAATGGATCTGTCCTTTAGGTAACTTTCAAACCAAGTGCAAAGTTTTGGCGATAATCCCATTGCTTTGAGCTTGTTGAGCAGATTTTCATGCCAAACTTTGTCGAATGCTTTAGATATATCTAAGGCAATTGTTCTTGTTTCACCCCGCAACTCAATCGCTTTTTGCCATAAGTGAGTGACGTATGTAAGTAAATCGCCAGTTGACCTATATTTTCGAAATCCGTATTGCTTATCGTTGATAATTTTGTACTTTTCCAAGTACTTGGTTAGGTGATTGTTCACAACTCTTTCCATTACTTTTGATATCACCGGAAGTAGAGGAATTGGTCTATAGTTTAACGGATCTGTCTTTTTTCCTTTCTTTGGAATGGGTTGTACTGCGGCAGACTTCCATGATGATGGATATACTCCTTGCCTGTAAGACAAATTGAATAATTTTGCGAAAGTTGGGGTGAGTTCGTTGGCGCAATTTTTGAGTGCTATTGCGGGAATGCTATCCGGACCCATTGCTTTGTTTGTATCTAGCTTTTTAAGGGATTTTCGTATTTCTCTGTGACAAAAGGGTACCTCTGGCATACTATGGGAAACCCTTTCAATGAACGGTGGAGTTTTTCCGTTTGGCACTGTTAGGTTGGAGTTGGAGGAAAACATTTGAGCCAGCATATTGGCTTTTTCCTCTGATGTTGTGGCTGAGTGATTATTTTTATCTGTAAGTGGTGGTATGGATGACTTGGTGAAGTTAGATCCAACAGCTTTTGCAAGAGACCAAAAGGACCTAGAACTACTTAGACAATTCAGCAACCTGTTTTTTATTCTTTGATTGTATGTTTCTTTAGCGGAGTCAATAGTAATTTTGCAACTATTTCTGGCTTCTATAAATTCTGTGTGGTTTTGAGCGGTTTGTTGTCGTTTCCAAAGGTTATATGCTCTGTGTTTTTTCTGTACAGCCGTTTGACACTGGCTGTTGAACCAAGGTTTTGCATTAGCTCTACGTTTAGTTGTATGTGGGATATATGCCTCCATTCCAGATAAGATTACTTGTGTTATTTCATTACAGCGAATAGTGGGATCAGCTGTTTTAAAGC